TAGTAGTAGTAGTAGTAGTAGTAGTAGTAGTAGTAGTAGTAGTAGTAGTAGTAGTAGTTAATCGATTTAGCGCGTGGATTTTAGGTATCTGTGGCGTTCAACTGTGTCTCATAACTGTTCAAACTGGAAAGGTAGTTGAGGCAAGTTTACGTTCAATGTTTATTCAGAGTTTGTAACAGAATTGGGAAGCTGAGTTTCGATAAAATCTTTTGTTAGCTTCATGTATGATTTCCGGATTACTGCATCTGGATAGCTCTCTGCTCAAGTTTAATTTAAGTCTGCATCAATAACATGTCTACCGTTTCCTCTGTGTTATGCATTGCTAAACAAGAAATATAATGCTAGCCAAATGTATACTGAACCAAATGGGCAGTCACACATTAGTTTTTGATTATTATCCGAGATACTACAACACAGCACACACATGCACAGTCCAGGGGAACGCAGACATCTATAATCCAAATTCAAATTCAAATTCAAATTCAAATTTTTATTATGGGATATAACTTACAAAGACTTCGCTTTTTCAAATCCCATAGGGTGTTTACACTTTGGTTCGGAACACGATTCACAATGTCACACACAGTACATTCATGAAATTACAGTAGTAAGGTAATGTTTTTTACGTGCACAGGAGAATATATTATGTAGTTGGGTGTTGAAAAGCAATGATTGCCAGTGCATCATCAAGCTGACGCTTGAAAGATACTAATGTCGGGGCACAGACCACGTGAGGGGGTAGAAAGTTCCATGTGCTGCACACTCTGACTGCAAACGAATGACGTCTGCAGTCAAGACGGCTCTTTTGGAGTGCCAACTTCAGCGGGTGCCCTCTGAGATGGACGTTGTGTGATAACACGAACAGAGATTTACATGGATGGTTGGGTTGTTGGAAAATCCGATAGACTAAGATCATATCACCTCTGATTTGACGATACTGGGATGAGAAGAGGTTCGAAAGTGATGGGATTCCAAAAGCTAACCCCTGTGATCCAGGCAACAAGTTGCATAACTGTCAGTAACCACATTTCAGCAAGTCACGCAGAGATTCATTCGCTATTTGACATCTATTTAAATCGATCTGCATCAAACTGCTTGACTGCGACAGATTGGATACAAATAGATAGCAGCATATCTAAACGCAGTTGGAAGACGGCAGTGTGCAGAGCTGTAGTTCCCACGGCGTTGAAAATCTTAACTTGACCAAGGGATTTATGTGCCATGTTTTTCTCATATGTTTTTCTGTTTCAGTTAACCAAAAGGCCTTCAGCTTTACACTTCAATATAAGTGAAGCCGCATGCAGCAGTGCCATGTGCACTAGGAATTGTATGCATCACTATCTTTTAACCACATCACGAACCTATNCATCACGAACCTATGGTACGAGAAAACCATCGGCTTTTAAGTTATTCTCATAATAAAACTTTGAGCTTTAATTAGTTTCCAGAGGAGGAATACCGTGTTACTTGAACGAAAATGAATTACAAACTGACGCTGAAAAAAAATTTGCATCAAGTAACCTCTGAATTGTGTCTGCCCAGTGTGTTGTAGCTCTCTCTCTCCCGTAGAGAAGTTGATCAGTGGGTTTCCGAAAATACTCCTGCAACCAATGAACCTCAGTTCTAGTTGACAATGGTTGTGATGTAGCACACGTCTCTCTGAAGGGTGCGTTTAACGCGGGCTTAAGAAGAGATCGTCAGGCCTGATGGCTCCATATAGTAGCTGACATGAACTCAATCGGTGCAAAGACATTTTCACCTCATTTTTGTAACAAGCGCAAGAAGGCACGGTATAAATGAAAAAATGTTTGTGGTAATGATCAATAATCTGACGTTCAAATTACTACCTCGCTGCGAATCTTCGACTAGACACTTTCAATTCGAATTTAAATGGCCACCAAAAATAAAACTTATTCAATGTATTTACTGAAAAAACGGTGTGCAGTGATGTGTGCCATGGAATATACAAGCTTCGTAAGTGAAAACGAGTGTTTAATATCAGCAGGCTTCATCCAGTTGTCTTTGAACATGGTATACTTGCGTTGGTGAGGGAAACTGCAATGTTTTAGAAAACAGATCCATCATTGAATCATTTGTACTGATCTGTATTTTGAGAAATCTTCTGCCTCGCAGCATACCGTAAAGATATCTTAGTCTCTTACTGACCATCTACCGATCGATATCAGAATGAATCAGGTTCTTTGGCAAGGTTACACCTCTTTGGCTATGTTTCTATTTTTACCTCGTATTTATCACCCTCGCTGTTTACTCGTCAGCTCTTTAGGCAAACACTTACAAATATTTGGAGCAAAATCTGCGACATACCATCCGTGAAATATCAGTTACGCATCGAAGTGAAAGTGTTCCCCATAAACTAAGTACTTGGTCTGAAGGGTAATCTTTGGCAGCAGGTCAAAGGCAAGTAGATCCAGTGTGGTGTGGAAAGCACGCCAAAGCTCATAACAGTCATACTGGGCTCTTCAGAAGAGGTCCTCGACATCTCCTTTAGCTGGCTGATGGAGAAACCAGATAACTTGTCGGAGTTTGGTAAACCGGGCCTTCCAACCAAACTGTTTCACCTCCCGTTTACTCGTTCAATATCTTTCGATCTTTTCTTTCTGGTTTGTTGGACGGAACATTAACCACGATGACAGCAAATAAGCGGTGCGCTAATGATTGTATATGATGAACTCAATTCGAAATGCATTTTTAGATCACGTCCCATTACCTTTTCTTTTATCACCGGTTATTTGTTCAGCTTACACGAAAAAATATGATGGTCAAAAACTGGAAGCGTTTACGGCGTAAATTTGAAAAGGATTTTGGAAAGTCAGAAGCTCAAAGGTGACAATATTGCATTCAACATAACAGATAACTTTTTTTCTGGGGATCCAGCCTTGATTTCATTCCCACCACGTATGAACTACCGGTAAGTCTGCGAAAATTTGTCAGACAGCTGAATCGGGATTTCGTGAAGATGGAGTATCACATGTTTATCGAAGAATTTCGCAAATCACCCGGTTCCGTTTGGATCATGAAACCGGTGGCTAGATCTCAAGGTCGTGGGATATTTCTTTTTCGCAAACTCAAAGATATAGAGGCATGGAAACGTGTGGGTATGGTGAGTCTGGTTACATTTATACTCCAATTACGCTACTGGTCTATCTATTTGCAGACAGAACACCAAGCCTGCGGGGATATGCTCAACAGGGAACTTCCTGAAACTTATGTTGTTTCAAAGTATATTGATAATCCTTTTCTGCTGTGTGGGAGAAAATTTGATCTCCGAGTGTATGTGCTAGTTACATCTGTAAGTGGTGTGGCTTGTTTCAACTACATTTCCATGGAGTTTAGTTCAACCCCCTAAAAGTGTGGGTCTATCGGGATGGTTTCGCAAGATTTTCCAATACCCGTTTCTCACTGGATTCTATTGATGATCAGTGTATCCTTTTCAAGTTTGAATTCAGTTTACGCTTTGAAAAATTCCAATTAATCTTAATTACGTTGGAGAGTCATCGTGCCGAATCGCAACTTTTGAAACAGTAGTAGTTATACTACTCATGAATAGTCAAACATTGGTCGCATATGAGAGCGGTGGACGATATCGTTTAACCACAGGGTGAATTTCGTCGGGGACAGCAAATAAAGCGTGAACTGTGAAGCACTGGGTAACTGTTCTGATCCGCTTGAGTTTCATCAGCAGTGCGAATCCATCGAATCCGTTTTCACTCATTTTTCAACTGAGCATGTGTTGGTAAAGGTGTCTGGGAGACGTTGGCTCCACTTCATATCGATGAATCTGGTCACAAATTGGCTCGTGGAATAGGATGAGACACTACAGCGAGCGCAACGATGCAAAAGAAAAGCTATCTGAAGGAATGCAATTTTTTATTCCATGATTGATACATGGTATAGCATTTCGAAAAAAAGCGGCGAGTTTTATTGGGGGCCCGGAA